TGGCGAACAACGAAGGCCGTTGATTCCTAATAGACATCTGGCTCTACCCTGGCTCCGGATGATGCCCCCACCCACCCCTGTCGCATATCTTGTTTTCAAAATGTCAGCGATCAACCACGTCGTTGCATTCGCAACTCGTTTCACAGGAAGACGTGAACGCATTGCTGGCTCTAGCCGATCTTGACCAGGACGGTTACATGTGCTTCGACGAATTCTGTAGAATTCTGCTGTGGGAGGATGGGTGTAAGGATACCAACGGCAACACCGATCCAACTGGATCCACCGAGTCCAAGTAGCGTCATCAATCGATACGGGAGCCCCCTATCTGATGTACTTCGTTCAAGCCTACCCCGTCCAGTGTTATGCAGGCAACGGCATGAAGGTTTGGGTTTGGGTTTACTCGCGTGGCAGGAATGTTATGTATGCTTCGGAGGGCGCAGTTGTGGACCTTGCGTTGTGACATGTGGCAGAGCAGGTTGTGTCGGTTAATTATCAGGCCGGGGTTTGCCCCGCCCAGAGTTCTGAAGCTCGTCTTGTATTCTTTTCACGCGTTTCACGCGGTAGCAGTCAAAAGTGACGATGCGTTCCACCGTTCGAGAAGTCCCGAGTTTTGGTCGCGTTGTCCTGACCGATGTGAATCAAGACCATTACTTTAGTTTTCTCCCCACCCGTCTTTTGAGGTGAACCATAAATAGATGTGATGGTGGGTGCTGCTGTAAATTATGAAATGATAGCCCGACCTTATCCAAAGCCCTTTCCTTTTTCTCCAGGGAGGGTGTGTCATGTATGTGTGGGGTCGAGCATGATGAGGGGGGAGCATGGGAGAGGCTAAACTATCCTCCGGATCAAAGACAGAAACAAGGGTAGCAGCACGGGTAGACTATGCGGGCAAAAAAAAAGAATATTGACCGGCAAACGACGCCACACATGTCCGTCCGTCCGTCTGAGCTGCCTAGACTAATATGCCAGCAGACTAGAGCACGTTTCACCATCTAGGCACCAAGTTGCAATCAACAAGTAATATTTTGCCCGAGCTGTCCCAACTGCTACCTTTTCATTCCGTGGTCGGTGCGTCGAGATAGCGCAGCATTTGTGCAGAATAGACTTACACATGGCGCCCGCACTTAAGAACCTCAAATTTGGCGTGAGGCTCGACGCTTATTGGCTGCCTCAACCCCAGCACATGTCCTTATGGTCATGTTCTTATTCCGATCAGACATTTGGTAGCTGAAAACGGGGTTCTTGTTCTTATTTCACCGTCGAGTGCTCCAGAGGCGCACCAGGACGCTCTTTGGTGACTCGCAGCTATGTACACACATCGATAGGACGTGGAAATTGGCGTGTAATTTCATGCGGAAAAATAAGTTGCATCATCCCCATACAGCACGTACGTCCATACTTCCCCGTACCATGCCCATACTGTCCATTCATCAGGCACCGAGATTACTGGCCGTCGACTTGGCCGCATGCTTGTACAACAGACTTAGACCGGATCACGCACCGCAGCAGCTATCCTAGCGGTTGAGTACAAATATGAAATCAACCTCCGAAGGCTTAAACCTTCTTCGTCGATAAGGAAGGGTCGCCTTCGGCCTGCGTTCCCTTCCCGCTCTACTAACGCCCAACGTGGCTGCAGCTCCGCCCCCGTCCACCTGCTCGACCGTGCTCCTCTCAAGCAAGATCCACGAGCCCACCACCGCATCCGGATCTCCTCTGTACATTTCCAACGGCAGCTTCATGCTGCGCGTACTTTGGTCTAGGTCGAGATGCACACGGTAGTCGTAAATAAAGGTGGCGAATGCGCTCCTGAGACTGTCGAGTTATCACCCCCCCCAAACCACCCCATGCCCAGCCTAACGAGTACTCCACGCTGCACTAACGAACTGTCATGAGCTGCCGGCGTAGATGCTTGAATGCGAAACCCATCCGAAATCTCCATGACGTGAATCTTGTCGTCCGATTCCATGCTATCGTCGTCGTCCACAAGACTCAGCTTGTCCAGCTGGCCACTGGCCGTCTCTACAACGACGGGCACAAACGACGATGTCGCAGAAACTGATATGTCATCTACGCAAACATATGTTTAACGGCAACGGCAAGGGCAAAAGCAACAGCAACAGGAAACGCAACAACAACCAAGCAAGGGAGTGAAAAACCCTGGTGGGCATCCAACTTGCCACGAGTGAGTATCTTCGTCGCTAGGATCGCTTTCCGGATGCAGACGACGCTGAAGCGTGGTCTGAAGACAATGTAGGGCGAGCGCTGTTGATGATGCCCGAGATGTCTCCATCAACCTGCGTGGACCACTCTTCTTCCGAAAACACGCCGCTGCTCCTCAGGTCCCACGCCAAATCGAAGGCCTCCCAGTCTTCGCTCGAGAGGGAGTTACCCTCCCTCACATGCTTCTTGATCACCTCGAAGATGGAGGAAAAGGAGGGGTCGGGCGGCGCGTAGGCTAGCTAAGAGAGCAGCGCGCGCCGCGCGAAAGAGAGAANGGTCCCACGCCAAATCGAAGGCCTCCCAGTCTTCGCTCGAGAGGGAGTTACCCTCCCTCACATGCTTCTTGATCACCTCGAAGATGGAGGAAAAGGAGGGGTCGGGCGGCGCGTAGGCTAGCTAAGAGAGCAGCGCGCGCCGCGCGAAAGAGAGAACAGGGTCAACTTCTTAGGGTAGCAACCTGGAATGTGCGGACTTTGGCTGTAAACGGGGCCACTGGATATGGGCGGGCTTACAGCGTTCTACACGAGGCAGCGAGACAAGACGTTTCGGTGATAGGAATGCAGGAGACACGGAGGGCAGGTCGAACGGAATTTGCAGCAGCGGGTTTCCGGGTGTTCTGCTGTGGCACGGAGACTGGTGGAGTCCATGGTGTGGGGATAGCCGTCGAAGAGTCACTGTGCAAGACATCCACGTTCACTACGGAGTTTATCGACGAACGCCTTATGGCCATCAGCTTTCTGCTGGCAGGCCACCGTGAAGCGGTCATCTTCGTAGCCGCGTATGCTCCAACCGAACCTTCAACCGCCGACAGCAAGCGCGTGTTCCGGGGAAAACTTGACAGTCTCGTGCGGAGGATCCCTTCCAAAGAATGTGTGCATGTCCTACTGGACGCCAACGCGCGGACGGGAGGTAGGTTGGACGGAGGGGACGGAAGGGTTAAAGGAATGTACGGGCGTGATGAGCTCAACGACAATGTCATGCTACTGTTGAACTTCGCAACGGAAAACAGGCTAGCTCTCAGGAACACGTTCTTTGAGACACGCAAGGGCGGAATATGGCACACATACAACGGTGTGTCGGGAAACGATTGCAAGCGACTTGACTACATCCTGACAAGGCAGGCACATCA